CCCAAAGCAGACCATCCCTGACTGCGCTCTGTATAGGACAGCAAACAACGACGGCACGGCACTGAGCTTTAGGCACGTGCTTAAAGTGCGACAGCATGCACTTTAAACTAATTTTTGCTTAATTTTATTCAATAATTTAGGTACTCTTACACTGCAAAGTACCTTTTCATTTGAAAATAAACGATCGGTTTGCTTAACTACCTTGTCGGGTCATTCATCCATAGTTGCAGACTAATGATGCCCAACCACAGATGCTGCTGGAGGCAGAAAAAGCAGCGATAAGCAACCGATAGACCGACCTGCAAGCACTTTTCGTACTTCGAGGATGAATAGGAATGGCATACTGCTGAGTACTAATTGTCGTTGCATAGAAATGTCAGTGAATTGTGTATTTCAGTTGCTTTTCGAGCGCGTGTTTGTTCGATCAATCACTGCCATGCGCCATAGCATTCGTGTACTGCAGATGCTCAAGTACCATCGAGCTGTGGCATGCTGAAAGCTCTCCCAAGCAGCTAAAAACAAGAGGACGGCGCGGAGGTTCCGCAGTGTAAATTCGGTGAAGAGACAGGGTAAGAATGACATATTTGCGTAACCTGATAGTCAGCTGTGACAATATGTGACTCTATTTCTATTCCCAAAATTTCAGAATTATGCAAAGCTGTGCATGAGCAATTAAGTTGTTAATCTTTGTCATACGTATTTTTCTCTTCAGTCTGTTGCAAGCAAAAGTATCTTAGCTTCATCATTGCACCGTATTTTGAGGTCTTGACCATCCAAACGGCGCAAAGGATGTTGTTTCTTTTCCCTTCTCAGACGTCATTCACAAAACATCATTCTTATGGCCTCAAAGTTGTCAACCTCAGGGCTTTGAGGACAGATAACGCGACAGAAAACGAACTGCATTGTGCGTTCTTCAGAAATGAAATCAATACAGACAGCGACCCCATTCTTTTCCATGAATTTGAAGTTAGCCTATCTTCATAGACAGAACAATCTGAAGTAATAAAGCGTTCTGCTAATCTCTGTTAACACTACGTGTTAGGGGATTCACGTTCGTCATTGCTGCTGTCGTCGAGAATGCTCCGTCGTATCATGGAAAACAGGGCCTCACTTTTATAGCTGCTTTTATTCAAATGCATAGAAACTGCGAAAAACTGTTCGCATGAGCGAGTATTTGATTAGCAGTAAAAATCGATCAGATTAGAAAGTGAGAACCGCTGCAACACCAAGTTCCGAGTAATGCCTCCGTATTAATTCTGTATTATCTAAACTGCGGAGATGTTGGCCATTTCGTCCACTCTTGGTCGTTACCTTATGCTGTGTATGAGCAGTCCCCGAAAAAAAAGTGTTCATGCAACACAATTCTAATTTTTTCATGAGGTCATCGTTAACGGCTGACTAGGTAGGAGGCATAAACTGCACTCACCGTCCCCTCCCTTCAAGTCATGTTCCTGCAGCTGCAGCGTTCCTTCACCTGGCGATGAATTTTCACGCGTAAGTTAACCGTTAATTAATTAGAACATCAAGACTGACTTCGAAGATCATCGCCTCATGACATAACTCATTGTTAACATTCCTTATGACTAGGCAGATCGACTGCCACTGTTCCTATTATTGCGATAGTACGTTCGCTTAATTTTCTGCTGGAAAGAAATCGTCATGAAAACAGAGACTGTTCAGATGTTACCGAAAATGTGTCATCGAACGCTACATATGCTGACATGAAGGGGAAGGTCCACACTGGCACATCTGCCCCTTCGCCGTGCCGTTCAGTAGCGCATTTGTGCCATCGCTGCTGGCGTTGCGAAGGCGACCGATGCCCGGTTGCGCTACTGCCGGCCTGATGGCGCCGATGGTGTCCTCCTATTCGTAAAGTGGCCGTTAATTAGGATCCTTCGTCGAAGTTCGGTCGTTGTCGTGTCGTTCGGTGTTATTTCTGCACCAAATACATGGAAACTGGATTACTGGCATAGCTTATCGTGAAAAGTTCGGAGTAAACAGTCCTTGGTGCTTCTGCTCAATTCGAACCCGGTGATCATGATCATCCGAAAGACAGAGGGGTCCATTTTTAATAAT